TTTGAGGTGCACAGATCCCACCCGCTTGCTGCTCTGTGTCTGGCAGTTATGGGTTTACAAAACTTTGTGTACATGACAAAGCAGCCTGATATCCCAGCATTACAAGCGCAAGTTTGTGAATTTATAATCCTGATTCGTCATTGTATATTAAGTTTGCGCACTTGAAAATATGTGAACCTTAAAGCTACAAATTTGTGCATACTTTTTTGGAAACAAACTTTGCTGAACAGATGTACAAAACTAAAATACAAGTGTGCAAATCTCTGCACGGGTGTACAAAACTAAATTCTGAGTGCGCAAATCTATTTTACACAACCAAGGAATTCTGTCGTAATAATCACTCCGTAAATATTAGGGGTCCATGCAGCTGCAGGATCCCTATTGTTTATCTCTTACCGGAATTGTGTTATTTTTATTATCACTTTATGTTAACACAGTCGCAGCTTATGTGACAGTGTTTTATGTTTGATTGTTCTCTGCTAATTTAACCCTTGTGTACATGGGACTTCCAGGAAACAAAAGGGTGAAAAAGCGGTCGAGCTGTTCACTTTACCTTGTTCAGGTTGCTAACAACACAGCACTTTTTTTGACAAATAAATAAGCTATTTTGCCTCAAATTTATAGCAAATTGTTGTTTGTTAATGAAGAGTATGTGACAATCTAGGAACATTGTCCTCACTGAATCATATGACCATCTTCATCATATGCCCATGTAAAAAGTTCCGTTTGATTAAGAGTGGTTCTTAGTGTTCAGGAATGAGGTATTCAGTAAAGCTTTGCACAGCCATAGTTACCTGTGGCTTGATTTTTAAATATGTATATGCCTGATCACTAAAGACCTGAGATATGCACACAAGGGTAAAAAAGTAATACATGCATGTTGGAAGCAGGTCACATGTTTAAGTTCTCATCCTTGCATTGGAATATAGACCAGTTAATATTTTAATAATCTCATGTAGTAATGCTGCATCACATGTGGTAAATTCATTACACACTAAATATTGAACTGAAGCTTGACTTTTAAAAAATATTCAAATCACATATCGCGGTATCTGTCACATAAACTGAGATTAGATATTTTCCCAAAGTTCTTCAGCACTAGTAATACCTCACTCATCATGTTTTATAGCAGGGGTCTCAAACTCCAGTCCTGGAGGGTCGGAGCCCTGTGTAATTAAGTTCTTTCCCCCTTCCACTACAAATGACTCAGCTCAAGAGTTGTGTAGTAATTAGCACAAGGAGTTGAATCAGGTGTGTTAAATGAGGGTGAACCAAAAACTGTGTAGGGCTCCGGCCCTCCAGGACTGGTGTTTGAGACCCCTGCTTTATAGGGTTACATTTTCACTGGGTGAGATTCTTGCTGGAGAGCCCATAGATTCAATTTATGCACTTTTCCTTCCTTCTGGTTAGAATTTAGTTTAACTAATGAGCATTTTGGCTTTCACTAGTTCGGCCAGTACATATTTTGAGCATTTTGTGCATTTTGGCCTTGCGAGCATTTTAGCTCACCAGTTAAGTAGCATGGAAACTTATAGGTCACTAGTTAAGTACTTGCTGAAAAAGAGTGACTAATAAGAGTAGTATTTTTAACTAATATGACAAAATGGCCAAACAGTGTGACGAAACATCCAACTAGTGCTGACAAAGACTGAACTAGCAGAGTAACCCAGTGCTAGCATGATCTGGGCAGCCTCCCCCCCCCCCAGACTCACCTGTAGAGTGAGGCGGCTCTTTCTTTCCTCATCCAGCTCCCCCGTCAGCTGCTTAATTTCTCTCCTGCAGGGGGGAGGATGGGGGGGGGCAGGAAATATAATTTATTATCACGGGAGTATCTGGAAAATCTCAGTAACACTGCACACACAGGAGACGGAGCACTCGCGGGCTCCCCCCCACCCCCTCCCCATCCACCCTCTTGCATCCACCCCCCCATACTTGTGCTGCAGCTTCATCATCTCCACGGCGGCCTGCAGGTCCCTGAGCTGAGCCTTGAGCTCTTCCATGCTGGGGGGCTCAGAAGAGCCCCCTGATGCCGAGGCATGGGGGGCGGTGCCGGAGGACAAGGGGGGGACGACAGGCTTGGGGGGCAAGGCTGACTTGTCACTGGTCTGAAAAAGCACCCCCACACACACACAGGCTGGTCACCATGATGACTGGACATACATGTAGAGCTCATGTGACATGGACACCGTGGACCGTGACAGTCCATACTGCCGTTTGGGTCAACAACGTGTTTTTAACCTAAACCTCAAACTGTAGTATAAGAGAGCTTTTTGAGGCTTGTTGCACAAAAAAGTAGCACGTGGCAGCGCCAAGAACTGCATGCTATGAAAGCAACCTCCATAGAAGTAATGGGGCATTATAAAGTGGTAGCAATGGAAGAGGGGACCTAGTGGGACAGCTTACTGGTAGGACTGGGGCAGTTTTGGGCACCTTCCTGGTGGCATCGAGAGCTTTAGAGGAGGAGGAATCCTGCCCCTCCTTCTCCTTCTCTGGCTTCTCATCATCTAGCACCAGGGAGTCTTGGAGGTCTGGGCTGGAGAGTGAGGACTGGGGGAGGGAGAAAATGGAGGGAATGATGACGGGCGCACCAGGCACATCCTGAGGACTGAATCAAGGTTATAATAGTTTCGCAGTAGTTTTCAATAGATTTATTTCTATTTTATTTTCACTTGTTTTCAGTTTCCGTTTAGTTTTTATTAGTTTTTAAAGTGGGGTTGTTAATTTAGTTCAGTTTCATTTTATTGAAAATGCTTAGTTTTAGTTCAGATTTTATTAGTTTTAGGATTAGTTTTAATAATGTTAGGCATTTGTCAGAGGCTCAATTCAATCAAGTTAGAAACTGTATTGTGACAGGCATGTGACGTCATGCATCTGTCGTTTGTACGGAGCCCAGATTGGACATGGAGGGGAAAAAACTTTTGCGAGATTTCACAAGTTTGAAATGGACTTTTGCAATATCCCGCCATACTTTTCCATTAACAACTTTACTGTTTCTGTTTAAAGTACAAAAGGTAGATTTAATGGGCTAATATTTATAAACTTAAACGATACAGACATGTCCATTGAAGTGTGCTTTAAACATTAAACTATGGGAGACAATGCACATGATGCCATTTTTGTATTATGGGTTTTTAAACGTATTCATTAACAATTGCACTATGTCCATTCACCGCCAGTAACTGTAAGCAAGACAGCTGGGATATTGAATGTGAAGTGCACACACCAACATTGAAATATTGATTAAAATTCACCCATACAGAAATCTGTAAAACCAAGGGGTATTGTTTCCTTTCGTCAAATATATTATAGCTGGAAAACTAAATATAAAGCTAACTTTACCATGGTGTATAGTTATGGTTTAACCGAACCCACTTTCGGGGATACCTCCCTGGTATTCTCGCGTGATGATGTATGTGGGGATATCAGGATCTATAAGCTACTGAAATACTCCAGAAAGCGGGTTCGAGTTTAAAACGTAACCGAGACACCGCAGTAAAGTTAGCTTTATATTCAGTTTACTGGCTGTAATACCTTTAAGTATAATAAGTGTATATATATATATATGTATAATAATAAGTATATGGTTTACACTAATTAGTCCATTAATTCTATCTTTTGTACTTTAAACGCACACAGTATGAAGAAAGGTATTGCAAGGTCTCGCAAAGGTTTTGCAGGATCTTGCAAAAGTCAATCTTTTTTTCCAAACCAATTAATTTTTTTCACCTCCATGTCCCTTCCAGGGCTCCGTACAGTTGCACACGTAAAACTGGCACAGCTAAAAAATAAATCATCCACCTAAAGTAATGTATAAAATAAATTTACAAAAATGAAAACTGAAGACATTTTCTCTGTAATTTCAGTTTATTTTAATTTTTGTATAAATACACTACAGTTTCAGTTATGCATGTGCCAGGTGAAACATCATTCCAGTTGAATAATGTTTGTTAATGCAAGTTTATCATTTAAAAGATTAATTGGTCAATTATGTTAGCACAGATGAAAATTGTTGTGCTGATTAAAGAAGCAATAAAACTGGCCTTCTTTGGACTATTTGAGTATCTGAAGCATCAGCAATTGTGGGTTTGATTATAAGCTCAAAATGGTCAGAAAAAAAGAAATTTCTTCTGAAATTCATTAGTCTATTCTTGTTCTGAGAAGTGAAGGCTATTCCATGTGACAAATTGCCAGGAAACTGAAGATCTGGTACAATACTGTGTACTACTCCCTTCACAGAGCAGTGCAAACCAGCTCTAACCACAATAGAAACAGGAGAGGGAGGCCCCGGTGTACAAGTGAGTGAGAAGAAAGATATATTAGAGTGTGTAGTTTGAGAGACAGATGCCTCATAGGTCTTCAATTGGCAGCTTCATTAAACTGTACCCGCAAAACGCCAGTCTCAATGTCAACAGTAAAGAGGCAACTCCAGGATGCTGGTCGTCTAGGCAGAATTGCAAAGAAAAAGCCATATCTCAGAATGGCCAATAAAAAGAAAAGACTGAGATCTGCAAATGAACACAGACACTGGACAGAGGAAGATTGGGAAAAAGTGCTATGGATAGACGAGCCTAAGTTTGAGGTGTTCGGATCACAAAGAACGGAGATCAAATGAAAAGATGCTGGAGGAGTGCTTGACGACATCTGTCATGCATGGTGGAGACAATGTGATGGTCTGGGGCTGCTTTGGTGATGGTAAAGTGGGAGATTTGGAGGTAAAAAGGATCTTGAAGAAAAAGGATATCACTCCATTTTGCAACACCATGCCATGCTCTATTTTAATTATTATTTCATTATTTCAAGAATGTTTTAATTATTTCATTATTTCAAAATGTTTATTTCTAACTTTGTCAATGACTATTTCCTTTTTATTCAGCTATATTTCCTATTCAAACTCATTTCATGAATGTTTGCTTGGAAAACAAGTACATTTCGAAGTGACCCCAAACTACTGAACGGTAGTGTAGTTATTTTTTTGTGAAGCCTTGTTTTATTTCTGTTAATGAAAATATTTTTTCCTATTTTGTTTTCGTCACTTCATTAGTTTTCATGAATGTCAACAACCCTGGACTGAATTACAGTGCCCCCTACTGGTCAGGCCTACTCACAGAGGTGAAGATCTGTGAGCGCGGACGACGGTCTATCATGCGTGGTCGAGACGCGGTCGGGTGGTTCAGCCGCTCCGTGGATGACACTATGGAGTCAAGGTCTTCCACATCTTCAGGGTGTGACCACGGTACCAGTTTGAACCAGGGACAGGGTGGGAGAACAGAGAGTGGGAGAGAGAGAAACAGGCATCTTTTTTGTTTTTGTGAATTGATCTCTAAAGCATGATGAGAGTGCAACACATCCTGACAACACCCCCCCCCCCCACCCCCACAGTGTGTTAGCCCCAGAAATGTCAGGCAGCCCACAGACAGCTCACCTATGTCAGTAGACCTCTCTGAGGACCCCCGATCTGATGCTGGGGTCCCACCATCTGATTTGGAGCTGTCGCTTCTGCAGGGGAGGTCAGAGATCAGGCAGGGTGTAGAGTATGCATGAGACCACAGTGTGGGCATGTAATGTAATGTGTTCAGATGTGTTTTCATACGTGTGTCTAACTGTATGTCTGTGACTCTGTCTATGACTATGTCTGACTGACTGTGTCTGTGACTCTGTGTATGTCTTTCACACCCCCCACAATCTGTGGGTGCTTTTCCACCACACCAGATACTGTACTTTAGGTACTTTGAGAAAGTACCAGAAGTATGGTACTTCAAGGCGTTGCTTTTTCCACTAATGTAAAAACTGGTACCGGCGCAAAATGACATCACAATGCAAGGCAGGGTATTTTGTACTGAATTTGAAAAATGGCTGTAGTATATGACAGGACTGGACAATGTGCAATATTAAAACTAAGATTGCATGTTTAAGATCAGGCTTTTTCATACCTTCATACTGCTAAAACATTTTTACAATCTTATAGGAAAAAACCTTAGCTACCTTTGCAATTATAATGATTATTCATTTTATAAATGATCCAATATATGTTTAAAAATCAGTTTAAAGTTTACCGCCACTGCTTTTGCATGGGTGCCGCATACGTTCTCCGAGACAATCATAATCATATTATTGTGGCTGTTGAAATCACTCCTAGACTTATGGATTAAGGATTCATGTTAAAATCCTTTTTGCTTTATAAATACCCCAATATTTACAACAAAATAATATTATTATATTTAGAAATTTTCCAATACCATGCTGGGACTTTTTTAGTTTATCGTTGTTTTTTGAGTTGGTAAGTTTTTTCAAGATTGCAATTTTATTGTTTCAGAGAAAGGCTATTTGCATAACCAATCGGCAAAGAAAGTGCTTTCAAGTCCCACCCCAATGTACTGAAGTAGCAAAAAAGTACCTCAGTTGGTTTGGAACTTTAGGTACTGGTACTTGACTGGAAGTTAATGGAAAAGGGAAAGTACCAAAAGTACAATACTTGGTGCGGTGGAAAAGGGCCCTGTGACTCTCTGGACACTTTTCCACTGCACCAGGTCCCAGTCTAAGCACAATAATACTGCTGTCTTGAAAAAAATTACAAACTCAGAAAACAACAATAAACTAAATAAATTAAAAAAAAAGAAGTAATAATAATGCATGGACAAGACCCAAGCTTTATTTGTGATCTGGGTGTGAGAACCGGAAGCAGATCTGGATGGCATGACAAGAAATAAAAAGCACAGTGGAAATGGCTTATAGTGATCACAGTTATACTGATCAACTGCTTATATGGATCAACAAGCTCGGCATAGGATCATTCCTGTACAAATACCGTTTAAATACAGTGGTACCTCAGAACTCAAACTTAATCCGTTCAGAACTTCGGATTGAATCCTAAAAAGTTCAAGTTCAGATCGAATTTTCCCCATAAGAAATAATGGAAAACCAATTAATTGGTTCCCGGCCCCCAAAAATTACACCGAAATATGTTTTTTTTTTTTTAGCATTTAAACACAAAAAGAACCGGATAAAACAAGAAGGGCATATACTGTACTGAACACATCTAAGCACATTTATAAAAACAGTAATTTTAAAAGTAAGAAAATAAATGTATACAAACAATGTGTCCTGCCCCGATCCTCTGCTCCTTCCGTGTGCCACGCCCCCTCGTTAACCCTGTGTGGAATCCTCATGTGATCAGCTATTTCTGGTTGTTGTCATTAGTCCTCTGTATTTAGTCCGCGTTTCAGTTTGTTTCCCCAGTCCGGTCATTGTATTGTCTCTGTCTGCATTTTGTCTGCCTTATCTGTAATTAAACCCCGTATTCCCCGATACCCTGACGTCTGCACATTTGTCTCCTTTCCGTCCCGCTGGGCACAACAATATTATTATAATTAAATGGTTTATTATTACTATTCAAATAATTAATAAGAAATCTATTTTAAAATGTATTATATAATAATTACTGTTACTGTCTATCATTGTCTAAATGTATTTTTACTGTCTAAATGTATGTATTCAGCTAGTGTAAACAAGTAAGATGCTATCACAGTGAATGAAAGGCTGAGACTGAAGCATTACCCTTTGTTTCCACTGAGAGACGTGCCGCATGACTCATTTCCTCGCGCATAAAAGTTATCTTAGGTCTGCGTTCATGGTTTGACTTCTGAGATTCAGATCGAGTTCTAGGTAATTTTTTTTCGAACTGGATGGTTCGACTTAAGAAATTCGAGTTATAATGAGTTTGAGAACTGAGGTATCACTGTACTTTGCTTATAGTAATCAAGTAGTCCGCCGCTTACAGTGTTCATTTTGGGTCTTTTTAAACATGAGAACATATAGAAAAAATCAAGACTACACTAATTCTTCTTTTTTTTTACTTCATGTGATTGCCTAGCTTTGTCTTGCGGTAACCCGTCTGCTTCTGGCTAGCTACCTGAGGCTAATGTTGTATGCATAGAAAACATGACGGGTAAAAGAAAGGCATTTTCTCTCAATGACAAATATAGACTCCTCAAAGCTTATGATAAATTGCCAGAAAAAGAGTCACTGAGATGCAGAAGCGAAACTACAATAAGCGCTTTGAGACAATGTTACGTTGTGAAAATGCGCTGTATTAATAAAACTGAATTGAATATTTATGTACAGTACTGTACTGTATTATAGTGTATTTGAATTATACACAGTTCGGTAATTTAATTTGTACAGTACTGTAATTTGAAATGCGTTTGAAACTGCTGTACTGTATTATGAAATTATCAATAAATTTAGTCCTTCACAGAATGGTTATATTTATACTGAGAATAAATTACACACAGGTGGACTCCATTTATATAATATTTTCTGTCCACTTTAAAAATATGTGCTACTTTGTGTTGGTCTATCACATAAAATCCCAATAAAATACATTTATTTATTTATACATCTAAGTTTGTGGTTGTAATGTGACAAAATGTTTAAGGGGTATGAATACTTTTTCAAAGTACTGTAATAGAGCTGCATAATATTGAAAAAAAATCAAATATCGGCATGTGATTTTGTTGTAATAAAAACTGGGATACTGACAAGGGGATAAAAATAAAATTCTCTCAAACCCATGTGAGTAATTTAAACTGCAAGAATGAAAATTATCATGAATGGTTCAGAAAGCACATGCAGAGCTCATGCAAAAGCAGCGGCAGTAAACTTTACACTGAATTTTTAAACATATACTAGATAATGTTGATAAGGAACAATCATTAAAATTGCAATTCTTGCTAAGTTTTGTTTCTGCTGAAAAAGTAAAAATGTTAGAGAAACGTAACCCCCCTGCACTATAATGTCCATACTCTATGAAAGTATGAAAAAGCCTGATCTCAAACGAGCTTATGGAGTCCTTATGATGTCAGAACTGCATGTGCATGACATGCGATGTTGGTATTAATATCGCATATCATCCAGCCCTGTAATATACTACAGCCATTTTTTGATTTTGGTACAAAATACCCTGCCTCACGTTGTGATGTCATTCGGCGCTGATACCAGTTTTTTTGTCACTCGAAAACGAACTGCTTGAAATACCAAAAGTACGGTACCTGGTAAGTTGGAAAAGTGCCCTCTGTCTCTCTCTGTATCTTTGTCTCTTTAGGTCTGTGATGCTCTGTCTCACTCTCTGTCTGTGACTCTCTCTGAGTGTCTCTCTGTCTGTCTGTGACTCTCTCTGAGTGTCTCTCTGTCTGTGACTCTCTCTCTCTGACTGTCTGTTTGTCCCGCTCTCGCTCTCTCACTGGGCGCTGGGCACAGCTGGCCTCTCGGGTCGCTCTGGCCTCCTCGGCACAGAGGAGACGGGGGGGGGACGTCCGAGCGAGTTGGTGGCCTTGGGGGGCAGGGGCTTCTTCGGGGGGATCCCAGGGAGGGCCGGCTTCGGGATTTCCACCACCTTCACCTCGTCACCTGGCATATGCATACAGGAAGGGAGTGTGTCACTGGGGTCTGCACCACCTGAAGAGGGACAGAGCAGGGCAGAGCGGGCCAATGCCTACCTCTGTCCTCCCCCCGCTGGGGCAGGCACTCGGGCCGCTCGGGGGGGACCTTCTTCATGTCTGTTTTGCCATCCGGTTTGCTGTCTGGCTTCCTCTCTGAGGACACAGAGGGGTGAAAGTTCAACACTGGCTTCAGCGTGGCAGCCTTGGCGCCCATTCCTAGCAGCCTCAGGGCACGTGGGCAACCGGCATTGGAGTGCCCTGACTCACACACACGGCAAACACACGAATATGCACCTGACACGCCAGGGCTGATTCCCTCATGAAAGGTCAGGTGACACACTTATGATCAAGACACCTGGGAACAACACTGACAGGGAAGCGAGAGAGACACGACAGAGAGCGAGATGTTGGGGGAAGAAGAGCATGGAAAAGGCCATTACCTGCATTCTGTTTGGCTGAGGGGGCAGCTGGAGGGGGCGGTTTCTTAGGCCTCTGTGAATACAGGGAAAGGTTAATCTTCAGGAAGCCTCCAGGGGGTGACAGAGAGCTGCTGAGACCTGGTGCTGGGGAAGCCTACCTCCTTCTCCACCTCAGGGACTAAGAGCTTGACAAAGTTGTCTGGGAACACGCCTTGTTTGCCATTCAGCTCGCCAAGCCACCAGCCGGTGTCCGCACACTCCTGCGGGGTCAGGGGTCACAGATCAGGGGTCAGGGGTCACAGGGCACAGCCCCGAGACTTGACCTGACACTCACCTTGGTGATAATGACTACAATGTCGCCCTCCTTGATGGACAACTCGTCTTCGTTCTGTGCCTCGTATGGAAACAGCACTTTGCAGAACTCCTTTGCTGCGGAGAGGAGATCGGAGTGGCTCAAAATCACCAAGCCAGGCCCCAAAACACAGCCGTCCAATCAAAACACAGTCCAGCATCCCCCCGACCCAGCACCGCACCCCCAAACCCACCCCAGCATAGCCCCCAGTGTGACGACGTAAGGCTGCTAACCTTTAGCCTTGGCATCAGGATCAGACTTCACAGCGTCCTGGCCGCCTGCGGGGGGAGGGGCTTTCTTCACAGCCTGCTGTGGGCAGGGGGACAGCCAGACACACATAAAGATCCAGAAGTGGCACACGGTCAGCAGCCCAGGCACATACCAGGGACACGCAGCGAGGAGGCGACACACAGAACCCACATGTAAAACATCCCAACGCCACAACCTGCTGAGCCTCCTGGGCCCCTAAACACCTTTAAGCCGAACACAGGAACGCAGGCAGCGTATTTATCAGAGATCCGGAAGCAGGGAGGGGAGCTGAAGCAGCAGCAACAGAGAGCAGAGACACGGGAGCAGTGTCTACAGCAGTAAAATGCGTAAAAATATACGGCAGATACAGAGAGCCAGAAAGATCAGGGTATAGAGAAACAGAGAGATAGACAGAGATAAAAAGATAGAGAGACAGATAGACGGAGAGATGTTTCTTACTCCCATTCCTCCAGCAGACTCGGCTCGCCCCGCCATGCAAATGCAGCATCTTTACATCTCAATGTAAATCCGGCGGGGACAAGAGAGACTGGAGGCTGTTGTCACGGCACACAGCCCATCACGCTGTCACTCTCCGTCACTCAGCGTCATTCTCAGCCACTCTCCATCACTTGTCACTCTCTGTCACTCCTCATCACACCTTGTCACTGTCGCACCTCACCGCTCTATTACTCTCTATCACTCCCCATCACTCTGTCACACCCTGTCACTCCTCACAATGATTTTCTATCACTCCCTTTCACTCTCCTTCTCACCACCATCACTCTGTCACTCTCCATGACTCTCAGTCACAGCAGGACACTGGGTTGCAGTGAGAGCATGGAGGGCTGCTGACCTTCTCCAATTCGGCGTCAGCATCCATGGAGCGCGGCCGCAGCTTGATGGCCTGGTCTTTGAAGATGTCCCCAAAGCCAACACCACGGACCTTCTTGGGCTGGATCCCACCGCTGCCGGACGCCACACTGCCCGTGTCGGAGCGCACGCTGCCTGAGTCTCCGCCATCGCTCTCCGAGCCTGTGCTGTCCTTCATGCCTGCCAGGTTCAAAGAGAGTTACCACGGTGCCGCCATTGCACAGTTGGTTGCTCCCCATATCTGCCTTAGTCTCTTATGTAAGGCGTTAGCAGGGGAACAGACCCACACATGAGAGCAGTGGGACTCACTGGTGCGGCCACTGCGGCTGTCCTCCTGGGGAGTGGGCGGGTCCTCAGCCTCATCCAGCAACAGCTTGGTGAAGTTAGAGGGGAACATGCCAACCTTTCCATGGAGAGTGCCTTCCCACCAGCCCTCCTCCACCTGCGGTCAAACAGTCACGTGGCCACACCCTCTTATTAACATGTGCCCCTCCCAAACAGTCATGTGGCCACACCCTCTTATTAACATATGCCCCTCCCAAACAGTCACGTGGCCACACCCTCTTATTAACATGTGCCCCTCCCAAACAGTCACGTGGCCACACCCTCTTACTAATATGTGCCCCTCCCAAACAGTCAAGTGGCCACGCCCTCTTATTAACATGTGCCCCTCCCAAACAGTCATGTGGTCACGCCCTCTTATTAACATGTGCCCCTCCCAAACAGTCACGTGGCCACGCCCTCTTATTAACATGCACATCTCCCACACAGTTTGTTAATTAAAACAAAGCATCGCGATGGCCCGCAGCGGGTGTTGACGCGATGTGATTTCTGCCCAGTGCTCTGAATGTCAAAGTCAAGAAATTCAATGAAGCGCGGGTAAACGGCCGGAGTAACTATGACTCTCTTAATGTAGCCAAATGCCTCGTCATCTAATTAGTGACGAGCATAGATGGATGAACGAGATTCCCACCGTCCCTACCTACTATCTAGCGAAACCACACTCGTATTATAGCACACATGGCCTTCATGGGTGACCAAGTAGCCAGCTAACTCACCTCGGCCAGAATCTCGATGACATCCCCGATCTTCAGCTCCAGCTCGTCCTCATTCTGAGGGGCGTAGCTGAAGGCCACCTTACATCTCCTCCTGCGGATGGCGTCTCCTGCTGGCCACGGGGCCGACGGGTGAGACGGCGGGTTGGCAGGTCAAGATATTGTCATGGTCATAATGAGGGTAAATGCCCCCCCATTTAACAATAACAGAGTGTGTATTATGGGGGGGGGGGGGCATGTCACATCAGCAGGTTAGGGATCAGTGCCAATGACCTGGAAAGTTGCTGGTTTAAATCAGAGGAATCCTCTCACTATGAGGCCCCTGTTATGCCACCTGCTGGCTGACCCTAAGCCCTCCACAGACACTTCATGTCTTTCATGGAGAGCCAGAAGGATTTTTGAAAACCACCAAACTGTAAAATCTCTCATATCTGGCATTAAAGTAACCAAAATATAAGCATAAAAATTAAAAATTAATAATAACATTATTCTATTAAAAATGTACACTAAAAATAACAGAGAAAAGCATTGTGCAATACAAATGTCAGTTCCTGTGCATGATTTTCAGTTCAGTATGCACAAAGAAATGAATGAATACATTTACTGACACGGGCGGAACCTAAATTCACAAGTAGCTCTTCAACACGGAAACATTATGTTAATTGTTTCTGAGAGTTACGGCTAATGCTGGTTACAGTGAGTCATAATTGGCACTTTGAGAACATTCTAGCATTGAAGAGGGAGTACTTAATACTGTTATACTGAGCTCAGACATGCTACTGAAAACACAAGCAAACATGCCAACTCATTTGAGGTGACATCAAGTGAATGTATTTACTACCAGAGCAAGGCAAACCGCCTCGGAAAGTCAGTCTCCCCAATTTTTACCAGTAAATTCAAACTGGGCTGAAAAATAACTATAGGCTATATGAGTGTTTAGTAGGGTTATGACTACAAATTTTTTTCCAAAGCTTGAATTTTCCTGATGTTGCATTTGATGAACTTTTACCCATAGATCACTTTTTTGAAGTTAATTTTATTGGATCATGGAAAAACCTCCCGCACCTAACACCCCATCTGGCATTTCCTAATCATGTGTGGGTAGTCAGAGAGACTACCAATCTAAGAAGATTGTGGCTCCATTGAGAGTACAAAACTGTCTAGAAATGTGGATCCATGGAAAATTCCGGAACTTCTAGAATTGTTCCAGTAGACATTCAATTTTACCTGGATAACGTTTGGAACAAACCGGATTTGTGAAAAGTGGACTTTCACATTTAATTGGCCAAAGGCTGTAAGTAGTTCAATTATCATTGCACTGCATATTATTATTTGTAAGGTAATTGCTATTGCTGTTTTGTCTTATTAAATTGTTGAATTTTAAAAGGACTGTATGTGCCGTCCATTGCAGTCAGCCTGCTTTAGACCTTGCAACAAGCAGGAACTTGACCAAACAGATTTGAGGTTTAAAACTGTAAATGTATACTATATAGTTGTTCAAATCACATCATTCATACAATTTTGCTTTCTTTGCAGTAATTTTTGCACTTATTGCATTTTTCCTTCTTCCAAATTGGGGAGAACAGCTGAGGGTAACTTGTGATTTCATTGCAACTACATGGTCGCGGGTCTGGTTTTCTAACCAACACTACTCAGATGGATTATGAAGACCTGCTGTCAGCAATATCCAAACTTCAGTGTCCCAAAGCTGTAAAATGCTTCTCTACTCACTGGAAAAATGAACCATCAGTGCTTGATGTGCCTCGCTCCAACATAGTAGCGGAGAGAGCTGTAAAGTTGACGGAGGAGGTTCATTCTACTTGCAAAACTGACAAATATCTTAACAGTAAATTTATGAACACTAATACACAAATCTGAAACACTATTAAAAACACTAAAAATGCTATATGTACTCATTTCCATGTATTCCTCATGTGTATTGTATGTAAAACTTACATGTTTGAGCCGCTAGGTGTTTCAATGTGCGGGAGGTTTTTTCATGTTATGGCAAAACCAAAGTCATTTTTGTGAGTTTTAGGTAAAATTTCATCAATTACAACCCCAGGCTAATAAATTTGAGATTTGTCATAACCCTAGTGTTTAGTGCTACAGATATGCATACAGGCTGTAGTTCCTTATAATCTTTTAGGTTTATCTTTTAGACACATTGCCTTTTGTTTGGTATATAATAATTTCTAATTGTGTTCATTTGCAGTTTTAGTAATAAATAATCTCAAAACAAATTCTGTTTCTCCTGCTGTACCAAAATTGCACCGAACAATAAACCTAAAATTAAGTTTTGTACCAAAACATGAGTTATGTGTTCTGCTACTACACCCATTCGCCACTAGATGCCGCCCTGCACCAGCTACTCAGCAGAGTCCTTTCCATGGCAACACATAATCATCAGCTAAATCTCATCGGCAGACAGAGGCAGCTGCCTCAGCCAGGCCAGCTGCAGACCACCTCCTCCCCCGGGGCATGTCCGTACCTTTCTTGACGGCCCGCATGCTGGGCTCAGACCCCGGGCTGGGGGCGCCGTTGGGGAGCTCTGCCTTCTTAGCTCCGCTGCTGACCTCCTTCTTGACCTCCTTCTTGATCTCCTACAGAGGGAGCAGAGTGTTCAATCCCAGGGAAACCCTACCTAACCTGCAAAGTCGGTGCCTTCCAGACCCGTCCGCCTCCCTCCCAGCACTGGCATGGGGCAATTCAGCTGTGCATCGGACCCTGGGGGAGCTGGCACTCAGTAAGCAAAGCAGCGTGATGACAGCTAGAGGAGCAGGGCCATCTGACAGGAAGGACGGGCCCCTAGATGCAGCCATGCCCACCCAGCTGCCGCATCCACTTCCTGTTCCTGTCAGTGAGTGAGCTGAGGTTAGGCTGCGCAAACACACGCAGATGGCATGCAGACACACACAGCCGGCACCCAGACACACGCAGCCGGTGCCCAAACACACCCAGCCAGTGCCCAAACACACACAGCCTGCATGCAACCACATGCAGAGGGCATTCACACGCACGCAGCCCAGTGATACATGCGTCTGCAAACACATGCAGATGTCATGCACATTCAGACAGGTACCACCCAGACACGTACTGTCAGGGATCAGCGCCTCACTTGGCTGAAAGAGACACACATGTGCTCGACACATTTAAAAATAAACTAGTTTCCGTCAACCACGTTTTGTTTGATGGCTGACAAGCACCCGTCCCCCCCCAGCAGGATGAGGACACACCCAGCACATTGCAGCAAGAGAAGAGGCCGCAGCTGGTTGTGCGTTTCGATGGCTCTCACCCACCCTAGGCCAAAATGACCTGAGGACAGACCTGCTGTCACACCAACCTCCGCTTTGCTCATGGTTTCCATGGCAGCAGCACTCGCAGATCTCACGTGCCGCCCCGCCCCGACAGCCCTCAGAGTCGTTCAGGGCTCCGCCAGTGAGAGGTAGGCTTGGCGAGAGCCCAGCAGGGCATGGATCTTAGGACGCTTTTCCACCGCACCAAGTACCGTACTTTTGGTACTTAAAGAAAGTACCAATACTGCAGTACTTTAAGGTGCTGGTTTTCCACTGGCATAAAAACTGGTACCGATGTCGAATGACATCACAATGCAAGGCAAGGCATTTTGTACTGAATTTAAAAAATAGCTGTAGTATATTATAGGGCTGGACGATGCGTGATATTCATCCCAACATTGCATGTTATGCACAACAGTTTTAAATAACAAAACAAATGTCAGTTACTTATATAATTTTCCACTACTGTATGTTTAAGTTCACCAGATAACATGACATTGACCTTTTTCTTTTTTTATTGGTCTTAAAATAGAAAGTCCATAGGTTACAAGCCACCAAATAAAACTGAAGTGTACTATACTCTTTCAAATAATAATAAGCGCAGGGTAATATTATTAATATCAACATCGCATGTTATGCACATATAATTCTTACATCACTAGTCAGCTAGATTAAGATCAGGCTTTTTCTTACTTTCAATTCTGTATGAACATTATAGTGCAGGGAGTTCAAGTTTAAAACATGTTTAATCTTTCATAGAAAAAAACCCTGACTAGTTTGCTGTCCTGGTATTTTACACAAAATCCTTTTTACATTTCTTGTCATGCCATCCTGATCTTTTTGTTGTATCCGTTCTTCCAACGAGACTGCAAATTTTTTTTTGTGTTTTCAGTGTTTTCTGAATTCACAACTGTTTTCAGGGTGGTGTTTGTATTGTGTTTCAGAGCCAAGATAACCAATTGACAAAGAAAGTGTGTCAAGTGCCACCCCAAAGTAGCAGTGCCCCACCTGGTTTGGCACTTTTAGTACTGATGCTCAACCGGGCGTCAATGGAGAAGTAAAAGTACCAAAAGGACCATATACCAAAAGTAAGGTACTTGGTGCAGCGGAAAAATCCCCTTATGGACTGCGGTGCGGACGCTTAGCGAGCTGGCATCTCCAACTGGGTGCAGACAGGAAGTATGCTGGGAGACAGCTCCTGCTCCAGCAGCCACCCCTCCCCCCCACCGGACAAACTCGGAGGAATCTCTCTACAGGACTCTCTGCTGACAGTAGGGGGCACTAGAATCTGAGCGGATATGCTTCACTGCCATTTACGGTCAGGCTGCTGGAATCTTTTCACCAAACATCTGCCATGCCCCCACACTGGGTCCCTTGCTTCCCGGTCAGGAAAGCGGAGTGGGGGGGACCTGTACGGTTATGGGAACTTTGCTTTGGCTATTTCAATTCCTGGCCATATTCCGGCCGGCTCCCCTAGAGCTCCGTGTGCAGGAAGTGTCCCATTTCTCACTGTAATGTGGCTCCTTTTCACCTCCTCCCAGCCCAGCTGCTGCATTCCTGCTTTTTGTCCGCTGGGCGTGACCCCCCCCAGGACTGCTCCAGCTACGGCCATAAGGGGGCAGCCATATGCACGGCTCTGAACCGGAACATCTACAACACTTTAACAATGAAGCTAGAAGAAGGACAGGTGGATGGAGAGAAACACCCCCGCAAACACACCCCTGCAAGCAGAGAGATACACCAGCGCCACCTTTGCTCAAGGAGAGTTAATGTGCCAGTGACTCTAGGTGTGAAGGGATCATGCTTTTCTGGGAAGGACACAAGCCAAGCGGCCGCAGGAGGTGGAAGACGCTATACCAGTGGTTCTTAACCTTGTTGGAGGTACTGACCCCACCAGTTTCATATGCGCGTTCACCGAACCCTTCTTAATTGGAAAAATAAAATATGATTTTTTCAAATTCAAAACATAGGTATACAGTGGTATGACGTACCATCACGACAGTTACAATTCGACTACTGTGCGCACCAAATTCCCCGCAGCACAGATAGGCCAAGCGATGTTGCTTGATCACCTGCAGCCAATGATGGACAAGCGGGGCGTGTCATCACGAATCATATGAGTCGGGTGTGTGTTTTGACTTCCGCCGAACCTGCGAGACTGACTCACCGAACCCCTGGGGTTCGATCGAACTCAGGTTAAGAACCACTGCGCTATACAGTGGGTTGCTCAGACTCCACTGCTAAGTGACGAAAGTGTTCAGTGCGACAGCAACCTGGGCCAAAAGGAAACATGTTAAGCGGAAAAACAAAGGCTACTATGCTCTTAAAGGAGAGTGGCCTTCATGACACAGTGTGGCCTCGGGAACTCCCAGCATGCTCAAGAAAAACAGCCCAATTTCCTGAATAGCCCAAGTTCCAGAACACACAGACACGGAGACACAAACGCAGATGTACACAAACAGACAGATAGACAAGAGACACAAAGACAGACACACAGAAACATTAAGACTCTAAACAGAGCACTATGAAAGGGTAACCACTGACTTCCCTTGGTCTATGATCACAGTGTGTGTTATCTGGATATATACTGATATATTGCACTTTCACACACTAACGTTGGTGTATAACTGAAGCATTTCAGCTTTGACGAGTTTCCAGACCTGTCACATGAATCAGACAGAGGCATGGGCACCAAGGACAGATGGACGTGCAGATAATGCGCCACCCCCGCAGATGCACAGCGGCACGACTGGACAGAAGACTTCAGTGCGTCTGTATACAAAACGTGATATTACACTGTGACACATCAGGGCCCAGAGGCCAGACCTCACCCTGGGGGCCCATCATCACCTAGCCAAACACCTCCATGTCACGAGGCCCACTGGTGGTCTGCCTGCTGCATTCTGGACCATCCGTGCAGGTGCTGATCGCTTTCTCATATGGCCCCATCTGGAGGAGGCCATCTTGAGGCACAGCACTGGAATATGTGGGCAGGGACTTGCACTGAGGCTGCCAATCCCTATGCATGTCTCCCCATTTCACATGACGTGCAGATGTCCAATCAGGAGACAGTTTCTATGGGAAGACGCTTCACTCAGCAGAGTCTGGCCCTCGGACAGAAAGCAGCAGCGCGGCTGTAATCCAGAGACTGTGGGCGAGTTCTGGAAGCAGCCAGGATTTGTCCATCTTACAGCCCGTTTCTAAAGGCATTTGTGTGCAACAGGATTTGGAACGAGAGAGGAAGAGGATCTGCACTCCAGTGTCCTGTTTGCACCAAGACATGAAAGTCTTACTTCCTGGGAGAAGTTAAACAGTCACATAGGCAGAAACAGATAGCAATCACTGGGCAACCAAGATCATGTCACAGAACAACAATGGGGTGTTGCTTACATACTTTATGCTGAACTCCATCCATTTATTTTTTGTAACTGCTTATCCTATTCAGGGTCATGGGGGGTCTGGAGCCTATCCCGGAGGCTACAGGCACAAGGCAGGGAACAACCCAGGATGGGGTGCTAACCCATCACAGGGCACACTGACACATCATTCACTCAGACATGCACAGAAGAAAATTGTTGTGCTGATTAAAAAAGCAATAAAACTGGCCTTCTTCGGATTAGTTGAGTCTCCAGTTGTGGGTTCGATTACAAGGTCAAAATGGTCAAAAACAAATAACTTTCTTCTGAAACTCAACAGTCTATTCTTGTTCTGAGAAATGAAGGCTATTGCATGCGAGAAATTGCCAGGAAACTGAAGACCTGGTACAATGCTGTGTACTACTCCCTTCACAGAGCAGTACAAACCAGCTCTAACCACAATAGAAAGAGGAGAGGGAGGCCCCGGTGTACAAGTAAGCAAGAAGATCTTCAACTGGCAGATTCATTAAACAGTATCCGCAAAAGTCCAGTCTCAACATCCACAATGAAGATGCTGGCCTTCTAGGCAGAATTCCAAAGAAAAAGCGGTATTTTAGAATGGCCAATAAAAAGAAAAGACTGAGATGGGCAAATGAACACGGATATTAGGCAGAGGAAGACTGTGAAAAAGTGCCATGGATAGACAAGCCTAAATTTGAGGTGTTTGTTAGCAAAGAGCGCAGATCAAATGAAAAGATGCTGGAGGAGTGCTTGATGACATTGTTATGGGAGCAGCCTGACCGAATGGTACATAAGAAGTGCCCATCAAGCCAATCCAACTTGTGGGAGATGCTTCAGGAAGCACAGGATGAAATCTCTATCAGGTTACCATAACAAACTGACACCTAGAATGCCCAAGTTCTACAAGGCTGTAACTGCTGCCAATGGAGG